TATATATATATATATATATATATATATATATATATGTTATTGCGTTAAAATACACAATAATCCTTTAACGATTAAATTTTAAGCTTGATGGCATTATAAAATAATAATCTAAAAAACCACGCGATTAATAATAAAAAAAATATTACATGTTCAATCGTGATGAAATTGAAATTGATTAGAAGAAAAAGAGTTATTTTCCATTGCAAACAGCTCACGAGCGCATACATCACTATACGAAACGATAAAAATTATTGGAGTTTAGTTCAGAATGTTTTATCCCGATCTGACTTTTAATCGTTTCGTACGAATTTTCTCAATAAAAACATCGAAGCACACAAATGCAAATTTGAAAAAAAAAAATGTTATAGCAAAGAAATATTTAGTTTATCCAAAATACTATTGCAAATCGAAAAACAAAAGAACAAAAAACAAAAAAACATTTGTAAATTAAAACATTCGATTAAATTCATTCGTCGTATAAAGTTGTCAAATATTTGATATTTCTATTTAAAAAAGAGAAACACGGATGATAAAAATAAAAGGAAAACGAAAAAAAAAAAATTCAACAAAGGAGTGTTTTTGAGCGTTCTTTAAAACTAAAATTCTTACAGCAACGTGCAGCAACTTCCTGATGGCCTGGTTGTTTCCGGTTCCACAATAGGCCATCGCCAACGTGTACATTCCACTTCTTCGTAGAATCGGATCCTTGTCGGCACAAAGGGAAGCGACCAAAGGATCGGCTTCCTCCAAACGGCCGTACATGGTAAACGCGATACCCACTGCCAATCCTCGAAGGATCTTTTCATGCTGGGTTTCTTGGGCATACTGAAAAAAAAAACGGAAAAATTATGTAATAAAAATTGTAATGTATATATATAGTTTTGTACATGGAAGAAAATTATCTTTCTAATCAAATTATCGGTTTGAATTCGTTTTGATTTCAAATAATATTCTGTTTTCTTTTTAAGGGAAAAGCAAGTGTTTCGATTTTTCGATTTTCGTTCGAGAAGAATTTTTGTTTCGAAAATTGTTTAAATATTATATTTGTTATTCAGAATTCGAATGAGAAGTGAGGATGAACTAATTTCGTAATTTCGGAACGAGTGAAGATTTAGGGTAATGGGAAAAAGATAAAATAACTTCTCGAGATTGAAATTTTCAAGAGCAGATATGTATTTAAATTGATTCTATGAATGAGAATGAGAGGTTTTGAAAGGAATATGTATTTCGTGTATATCTGGAATGCACGCGTGTACAATTTTTCGAGTGCGCTTCAATGTGAAAAATAAGTGAATTAGCTGTAAAAAATCAAAAAAAAAAAAAAAATATAAACGATATAAACTAAAAGAATAAAGATATTGAATGCACTGAGAACGTAAATTTGAATTCCTCTTCTTGTTTACTTCATCTTTAACAATGTCGATAATTTTCCAACAATTATATAAGAATTTATATTTCTAAAGAAACCTGTATTTTTATACACTCTCCATACCAACTATTAATTCATCGAATTTCCAAAGTTCCTTTCCAATATTATGGTACATCATACAAATCACATCATAACAACACTCGTGTTACTCTAAAAATCCAAATAACGCTAGATCATATACTGTAAAAAAAAAAAAAAAAAACTAATAATATGAAAAACATGTTATTCCATCATATTTCATCATCTTGCAAAAATATCTATCAACTTCTAGAGATTGACCAACCTTGAAGATACACAATCGAAAAGATGTCGAAATCGATGAAGAAACGTCATTTTGTCACCTGATTTAGATAGATATATATGTATACAAAGTGTTAAATACACATATATTACAATATATATTATTCATCATCTTTAGAGATCAATTTTAGAAGCCAAAAAAAAAAAAAAACCAAATAAAATAAAATGCAAAAGTTGATATGCAAAAATACCGATCGAGGCTTATTCGGCTTAAATTATTAAACAATTTAATTTAAATGAAATGAGACGCGTGTATCTCGGTATAAATAATCGATATTTTTTATTATTTTTTATTATAACTTTTTGTTTCTTTCTTGGCTTCAAGAATCGAATATTTCAAACTTATCTCACGAACATAATTAACACGCGACATTGCTGGATCGATATCTCCGCCCGAGAATCACATTTTTCTCTTTAATTTTTCGATAACGAGGCGAAAAACGAGGTGAACACGCGGGGGAAGGAAATCGTATTCTAATTTCGGTGGAAACGAAATTCATCGGAGGACAGGTGGAACAACCTTGACAAATCGATGCAGTTTGTTCCGCGCCTATTTTTCCGACCGACAGTAAGTGGATTTCGTTGTTGTACCCGGTGGGGAATCGCCAGGAAATACGACGCCACGTTATTTTGCGAACAAGAATCCCTGTTTCGCGAATAAATGGGCCGAGATTATGCGCGAAACACGCTCTCTTGGAAAACGTTCCTTTGCAATGGGGCAGAAATCGAGGGGTTAAATCATCGTTTCGTTCAAATATTTCGTGGTAACAAGGTCGTTGCTTCGTTGCCTCTCTTTATGAAAATGATAACATTATTACAATTGGGAAAATTTGTTTGAAAATTATATTTTACGACATCCGGATAAAAGAAACCATTAGGCTTAATGAATTATGAAAAAGATAGAATGTATATAAAGTATCTAACGTTGAGAAAATTTCAGAGATAAATAATGGATAATGACACGTTTGATACTAATTAGCTTATTGCTATGGAGTTATAAAAAAGTCATTTTGACCTTCGATATCAAAAAAGGAGTATTTCGTAATCTTTTTCAAATTATGATTTTTATAATAAGTTATATTATTCTTGAAATTAAAATTTAGAAAAAATTGTGCAAAAAAAATACGTTTAAAAAATAACACAAAATTTCTATAACTCTTAAGAATCTATGTAATCATTCATCTCATATCCTTACATTCCTAAATACAGATTCCTGATCCAATTATTAAAAGATATAAAATCAGAAGAAAAACTAGAAAACGAGGTGATAACGAGAATTTAGATTAAAATGACTGAGATCAAGGCAAACCTGATGGAAAAATCATTGCATGAAGGGAATAGAAAATTATAAATTTTTTTTATCCCATTTATAAAATATTTCTAAATTTCAAAAGTATATGAGTTGTGCTATTCATAGACAAATGTTTGTGAGGGTTATAACTAAGTTGAAAATGAAAGACAAAATTTTTGCAAATATATTAGCAAAATTCTTGATATACTAAAATATTGTTGAATATCCATATTCAACAATATCTATTTTATTATGAAATAAATGATAATTTTATAAATATGATTCACGATTATATTGTTTTAACAATAGTTCATAAAGAAATAAACGATTAATATGAGTCTAATCTTTTGATCACGTTTAATCACGTACTATAAACAAGATAATAATTATTGTAACTTTCTTTAAAAATACGTAAAGTGAAAAAAAATTATAAATCATAATCACTATCAGGTTTTTAACAATCGATAATTATTTTTAAGAATAATCCTGGCGCCAATCCTATTCGTTCGAATAGATATTCGTTACATTTTTAAATCTTATAAATATGAAAACATCTAGTTAATTAATTAATTACTTAAAAATTGAAAAAAAAATAAAAAAACAAATGACTCATAAAATAGAAAAAATTGATTATTCGATTGCAATTGTTCATTTTTGAAGATAAATACAATAATCGTACAACAATCACAAATAATGCAACGTGATACTTGAAAGATGAAATATTAAAAAATATATTGAAAAATATTACAAAAATGATCATTCATCAAAAAAAATCTTCAAAATTCAAAATATAAACTAATATATTCCTAAATAAATAAACGATACGATAAAATCTGAACGATATTTAGAGTCAATATCTCAATGCGAATCAATATTAATTTTTGCCAAAAAGTGTGATAAAAACAATCGATCAGATCCCCGTCTCAATAATCAACACATATAAACGATTACATAAAATCGATCAAATCTCAATCTTAATCTCGATTAAAAATTAATTCCTCCGAAAGCACTTATATTATCGATAATATTTAAAATTATTTTAATGCTAATTCTATAATAATAAATGCTAATAATACGATTTGAAATTAATTACACGTAATTAATATTAAAATATAATGCCAAAAACCATACTACTTTTCAATTACGCGTGAGCGTGAATCGGCCATCAACAATCTTATTCATCGAATCACTTATCAACGTTATAATAATACTCGAGTGATGATTGTTCCCTTAAGCCTATAAAAGAAGAGGCAGCTACGGATTTGGATTATAGTGCGGAGAAAATAGAAGCAAGCATGGTCGCCAACGCATCGTTAGCGCTAAGTTTGTACACGAGATATCACACTAGAACTGTGGAAATTAGAATAATTCGAGTGAGAATTCTTTTTTTTTTTCTTTTTCAGTTGTTCCTTCGTTGCTACAAGCTTTGACAACTATCAATTATACGGTGTTCCCGGATGAAGATGGTGTTCCACATCTAATACACCTCGATAGCACCCCATTGTCGTTCGAGGAACTTCATCTTTTGGATGCCGATTTGAACACGATTACTTTCACGCTTTTCACACGGTCAGAATTATTTTTATATTCTTCTATTTCTTCTTTCTTTCTTTCGTATTTTCTTGTTATCTTATTATATTAATTTGATACACGGAATGTTATGGAACAATCTATTCGAAGATTGGTTTCAAAATAAATCGAAAATTGATATATCATATTAAAAATGTTCCTTCGCTTCGTCTAGATAGACTTTCGATCAGAGTTATCGGTCACGAAAAAAAAATAATATAATTATTAAAAAATATATTTTCCATTTCAGAAATAACCGTATCGGCGAACGCTTGGTACTAAATGACGTGAATTCGATTAAAAGCAGTCATTTAAACTTGAAAAAAAACACGATCATAGTCACTCATGGTTGGAATAGTCGTGGTACTTCAAAATCTTGCATACTTGTGCGCGATGGTAAATAATATTACAACTGAGGAAATTAATTTGATTTACGAATATAGATATAATTCGATCGATAATAGGATAAGATTGTAAAATTAACGAAACGCAAAATTATAAAATGTTTCGATCGTCGAAAAAAAACAAAAAAAAAAAAAACAAAAATATCAGCATCAAATTTATTATAATTTTGCTAAGTTAATAACTCTTAATTGGATTATATAATTCTAATCTTTTATTCGTTCGATTTAATAAATTTTCCTAATAATTTTTTAATCTTTCCTAAGCTTTTCTTGAAGTTTGGGACAGCAACGTCATTATCGTAGATTGGAGCACAATAGCACGTTACATTTATTCTTCCGCGGCAAACAGTGTGCCTAATGTGGCTTATTACATAGCTTCTTTTGTGAATTTCTTACACACAAATTTCAATTTACAAACGTCTAAATTGAAAATAATCGGACATTCTCTTGGAGCGCATGTCGTGAGTTTGGCTGCGAAGAGCATATCAGCAGATAGCAAAGTGGCAGAAGTTATAGGTAAATAACAATACATTATATCAATTGTTTTGTTTATCTAATTCGAAAATTCTAATAAAATTTTAATAAAAATCCTTTATATATGTAAGGTATAAATAATAAATAATAGATTACACGTGAAACGATTGTTTGTTTGAAGATCTTTTTAAAGAGATGAAATTAAAAAATGTATTAAAAATTAAAACAAAAAAAAAAGATAGAAAAAGAATGATCTATTGTAAACAATAAAATAGATGAACTAAATTTTAAACGAGATATAAGTAACGATATTTTTCGATAAGTTGTGATGATATATTTAGATTATCACAGCATATTAAGAAAAGTATTTTGAAATTTATCGATCGATTGATTTTCGAACAATAATTCTGAAAAACAAGACCAAGATATTATCATGAAAGAAACAATAATCGATAAAAGTAAATGAAAATTCTATACTATTAAAAAATATGCAAACTTTGAAATTTTAAATATTAATTTTTTTTTTAAATTACTTGATGTAATCAAATTTAATAAAATATTATTTAGAATTAAATTATAATTGCAGCCCTCGATCCTGCGAAACCATTGTTCGATAACAAAGATGCTAATGGCAGAGTGGATAAATCACATGCATCCAACGTTCAAGTGATTCACACGTGTTCTGGATTATTGGGTTTAGACAAATCAGTTGGCACTTCTGATTTCTATGCTAATGATGGAAGAAAACAACCGGGATGCAGTACCGACTTATTTGGTAAGAAATTTTGAAAATGAATTAAATTAAATTAACTTCTATTAACTTCTATTAATTCTATTAAGTTCTAATTAACTTAAAATTATACTCGTGTGTGCGTATAATGTTAAAGATAAATTTTATTTAACAGGAGCTTGCGCACATGGACGCAGTTACGAATATTACAGCGAATCTATTACGAATCCAAAAGGTTTTCCTGGTATATCATTTTTTGATTTGACAACGGCATATATGGGTGGCAATGTTCTCGATCGAAAGTAAGTTTCATTTTATATTACTGTGATTAAATATATATTTGTTTTATTTTTTTATTTTAATTCAATTATCTATAATTATTATATATTATTAATTTATAGCGCTAAAGGAGACTACAATTTCAAAACTGGAAGTAAACCACCTTATGCGCTCGGGTAAAAATATTTTTTACTTTTTTATGTATTTTATATATGTGTTAAAATTTTTCCCTTTAATTCATTAAAAATTTTTACAAAATAACTATATTATTTATAAGACTTACCGCAACCATATCCTCGATTGCTTGGGTTGATTTCGATCCCAGCATGACCATACCCATAGCAATACCCGCTGCTTCACCAGTGACAGCATCATCTTGATAAAGGTTGAATTTTAACTGTTCATACACGTCCTGCCTATGAGAGCCCATAGCAGCCAGACCCAGTCCTAAACAACCTCCATGACGAACCATCTGTGAACAAAAAAAATCATGATAAATTAGTATTAATAATATTAGTGGTTATATGATTTCAAACCCTATTTTATTGCTCGAATGATTTTATAACTGTATGTTTTTATGAATTATTAAGTAAGTACATACCTCATTCTGCGCGTCCTTCAACTGACCAAGTAAGTAATCTGTAATTGCTGCACCGTGATTTGCATGAATAAGTCCTAATGCATACAAACCACCTCCTTCGGAATAGCCAGCTCCCGCTCCTGAATCACGCGGAAGATAAGACTGCATTAAAGCTAAAGCTTCTTGTTCGTGACCCCTATGAATGACTCCTAAGGACGCTGTCGCTGTTAATTTCGCCCAGTTCGTGGCTCTGGCTAACCATTCTAAGTTATCTCTGAAATACGAATAAGAAAGAAAATAACGTAAAATAGTAAATTCTCAAAAATAATGAATAAAATCAATATGATTACCTTAAAAATTGATCGCTTGTAGTTCCAGAATGCATGTATGCATTCGCGATTACAGTGGCAGTATGACAAATAGATACGCGTATAGTATCTTTAGTGTTTTTCAATATCAGCATATCCGTATGATTACTACGAATTAGGAATTGGAGATGCAAATCGATCGAAATTTCACCGCCTAATATGCTTGATAAAGCGTCTACACGTTCTTGTTGCTCACGTTCTTCGGCATTCTAAATAAATAATACGATTAGATTAATAAACTATTAATATATATATATATATATTTTTTTATTTACAAAACTTACCAAACTTTCAACACTACGTTGGGATTTCTCTTCAGGAACTGTTGTAGTACTTTCAGTTTCCATTACAGGTGTAGATTCAGAAGTAACAGCAGTTTCAGTAGATACTTTTGCGACTGGTTTTACAATTGGTTTAACCATAAGAGCTCCTGGAATGGGAGCTGTTGCCCTTAAAGCTTGTAAAACGCGTCCAAGAAATTGTTGAGTTGCTGATTCATATAAATCAAATGCAATTTGATAAGCCATAAGAACACAATCTTGAGAACCTTTGCTCAGTCTATCTAATAGTTCAGCAACAGCTAATGGATCATCGAGGAATATCAAGCATTGACACATATTGACATAGTCTGGCGTTCCCAAGTTACGATAAAGGCTCACTAGACAACGAAGAACAGTATTACGAAAACCACGATTCTGAATAAGGCTCATAACAACTTGGAAAGCATAAGACAACATGCCACTAACATCATCCTATAAAAAAATATTTATAAACTCAATTATAAATTAGTATTTTATTTTTTAATACATTTAAATTATTTACTAAGATTAAATTAAATATTTAAATTAAAATATTAAAAATTTACCGATTGCATAATTGCAGCTTCAAAAATATCCATTCGTCTTGTTTCAAGAGCAAGACCTAGAGCTTGACGATATTGATTATCATCTAAACATCTCTGAAACATTCTGTTTACAATTCCTTCTAATCTTGGATCAATTCCTTTACTAGTTGGCGGCAATTTTCCTTCAGCTTCCAATACACGTTGTTGAGTATAATAATCGATACATTTAGCTAAAATAATAGTAAAATAAGATAAATTGTCTAATAAAATTTAATATTACTAATAAAAAATTGCTAATACCTATGGTAGTATCAACATATTCATTGCGAGCATTAACATCAAAAAGTTCCCCAGCTCCCAAAGCATAAGTTAAAGAATCTTCAAAACTTCCTAAATGATAATATACTTTACTAGCAACTAATGCAGCTAAGTCATGTTGGGGAAATGATTTATCTTCATGAAGAATTTCACTGAAATATATAAAAGGTTTCTGTCAAATATTATTATCTCATCAAAACTATATAAAAGATTAAATAATGATAAAGATGTAAATTACATACATCTTTTCTATGGCCTCAGAAATTTCAGGCCAAAATTCATCTACTATCATATCCAATTTTTTTAAAGCAAACACCTTTAATTCTGGCATTGGTTCCTCAAGGAGAGAAATGATACCAGCTGAAAATAAAATAATAAAAATTAAAATTAATCAGTTAATTAAATTAAAAAATATAAAAGTTATAAAATAATTTAACACGTATTTTCATATCGACTGTATTTAATATTTCGAATATAAAGTTAGAGGTTATGGTCCATGAGATTTGCAAATCATTGCATGTATACTAATATAATATAAAAATTTACTAACAAAATTACAAATAAAAAAATTAAATATATATTATAATAATATATTTAAAATAATAATTTACCTGCTGATGTAATATTCATGTTGATTTTCATACAATATATATTCCTTCGGCAAAAATTCCACGACAGTTTTGATTGTAAGCTACAAGCCACAGACTCGTCAACTAAATTCAATTGAAATATACTACGTGCCGTTCTAGATGTAGCCATCTTGATAATGACGAAAAAACTATAAATCATGTAACAAAATTTTCAGATTTTCTTCAATTTTTTTTTAATATAGTTATTTTTTAATAAAAAAAGAAAATTTTTTAAGAAAAAATTATGAAAATATTGTTAATAATTAAAAAATCTATAAATGACAAAATTTTAATCTTGCAAAACTTCGAACTTTATAGGTGGTAGCACTGCTTTTAATGGCATATACCTCATAATTTTCTGTCGAATTTTGATTAATAAAATTAATCAAAATCTGAAATACATGTGAGTTAAAAGTAATATACAAAGTATAAAAATAGTTGTAAGATTATTTTCTTAAAATGACGGAGAAGGCAAAAACTATGAGTCATGTAAAACATATTCCAAAAGATGCTCAAGTCATAATGTCAATTATGAAAGACATGGGTATTACAGATTATGAGCCAAAAGTTATAAATCAATTACTCGAATTCACGTATCGTAAGTATTTGCAATTTATTAATATATAAAATAAGATATATCATTATGTATGTTTATTCTTTTTTATTTTATTTTATAAATTATAAAATAATCATTATTTTAGGTTATGTTACTTGTATATTGGATGACAGTAGAATATATGCAAATCATGCTAAAAAGAAATTTATTGATTTGGATGATGTTAGATTAGCAGTTAAAATGCAATTAGAGCGTACTTTTACAAATCCACCACCAAGAGATGTGTTATTAGATGTTGCTAGAGCCAAAAATAATATACCTCTTCCATTTGTTAAACCAAGCAATGGTCTGAGATTACCACCTGACAGATATTGCCTAAATGCTACAAATTATAGACTTAAAAATGCAACAAAGAAAGTAGTTGGGAAACAATTACATTCTTTAGTTGGAAATAATATTCAAGGTGGTCAATCTAAAATCAAAGTAGAAAGTAATAAATCTGGTCTTTCTATTGTCAAAAGGCCAGGAACACTTGCAACTGTTGCTAGAACTCAAACTATTTCTATGCCAAAGCCTGTTTTAAAATTTTCAGCAGGTAAATATTACACAAAGCATTATAAATATGTTAAATATTAATTTCTTAATTATATTTTATTCCATAGATCCCTTCCGAGCTTTGCATTCCCAAACATCTATTCCCTCTATCCATATTTCATTAAGAACCCAAATATGTAAGACATAAAATAATTTAATTAATAATAATAAAATATATTATATTTTACTGTTATTAATATAATTTGCATTATTAGTTTGTATTAATCGTTTAACATTGTAGCAGGAGGAGGTGCTACTGTAAAAGCACAAGTATCTAAACCAAAAATACAAATTTCCTCAGGACAAACAATGCCTCCTGTAAAAGTGGAAGTTGAAGAACCTATGAAAAGGAAGAGAGAAGATGATGATTACGATGTACCATAATATTATTACATGTAAAATAAATATTAAATATTTATGTTTTTATTACATAAAATAATATAATATCAAAATAATTTGATTTCTTTATGCAATGTAATAATTTTTTATAATTTTATCTTTCTGTAATTAAAATTAAATTTAAAATAAAATTATATATTTTTATTAAAAGAATATCATAAAAATATATGACTATAATAATGAAACTTATGGATTTTATTACCCATACTAATAATTATATATATTAATAAATATTTATTATATATCACAATTTTTTGCATTTATCCTTTTCCTAAACAAAAATAATAAAATATCAATTTTCATTCATTATAAAATATCATTAAATAATATAAAATATACAAAAAAAAAAATAATAAGATAAATATTTTAAATAAATTAATAGAATCTATTCAATTTCAACTTATTTACAATCAATTTTATTCAGATACTACTTTAAATCACACGAAAATAGACGTTTTATTCATTATATTTACATAAAATCAGAACTATTCACTATGGAATTGCATATTCTTCTTCATCGCCTGGCTCTTCCACCTCAGTTTCTTCTTCAGTAACGTATGCAGTAGGAATTATTTCAGCTTCAATTTCCTCAACTTCTTCGGCTTCAAATTCAGGTTCTACAGCTTCCTCCTCTTCTTCATCCTCCTCTCTTATTTCTCTTGGTTCTATTTCTGGGGGTATCTCTTCTACTAATTCTTCTGGTAACTCTTCAGGCTCCTCTTCCTCTTCTCGTTCCTCTTCTGGTACGCCTTCGAAAGGTGGTGGCTCTTCAATTTCGATTTCTTCCGGTGGTTTTTTCTTTTCTATTTCCTTCACATCCCTTTCTCGAATGCATTTCTTTCGATGAATTGGCAGGAAGAGTTTAAAATCTTCTGGCAATTCATCTTCGGAATATAATCTATTTGAGAAATATTAAATAAAATAAAGAAATAATAAATATTTTTTTCAATAATAGGCGAATTGAGTCACATTGATGCTAAAAAATTTACATATTTTCACGCTTGGATTTCATAAAATGAAAAGAATCATTAAAAATATGTCATTGATTACAAATATAATTAAAATTATTAGTTTATCAACCTAGAAGAAACTTAAGACACCTAAGATTAAATAAAAAAGAAAACTGAAAATCTTTTTAAAAACATTTAATTATAAATTATCAATAATATACACATATTACGTATAATTATTGCTATGGTCAGATTTTAATTTCGATTAACTCAATATTAAAAGAAGAAGATTAATTTCCTACCTGTCCGCAAAATAAATACGTCGAATCCTACAATTTGCGTGGATCTGTACTCGCGTAGTTTCCATATAATTTGTGCCATACGCTCTCCGCGTGAAATCTGACAGATTAAATTGAATTTGATTCCAACCGCCAGATAAACCGATCGGCATCGACGTGCAAAATGGTCGAACCCGAGTGGTGCTTTGAAAATTGCTCATTCGAAATCTTCTGTGCATATCTTTGTCATCGAGTATCTGTCGAATCGAAAACGATAATGCAAATTTGTTTTCTTTCTTTTTTCTTTTTTCTAATTCGAAGCAATTTTAATTTTATATCGAAATCATTTTTTTAAAAAGAATATAATAAAAAAGCTATACGGAATTTTTTTCATGAAAAATTTACTGTTATTTCGAACGTGAAGTACTTCTTCATATTCTTGATAATCATGATTAAAAACGGAAGTTTAATGCCGAGGGAAGCTTTCCTGTTGCCACGAGGACAGTAGATGTAAGTTGTTGTGACATTGGTTCCGGCTAATTCCAAAGCTAAAGACTTCACCTCATCGTCCGTTACTCTTCGAATATAACCATTCTTCACCTATTCGCAATGATTTCACTTTTCAGCTCAGTTTTAATAACAAATAAAATACAATATATTTTTCCACATATATTTTTCTTTGCGCAATAAGAGGTTCCTTTTATCAAATTTTAATTTAACATAAGCAAAATTAAATATTTTCTTTATCCAGTGGTAAAAAATAAGATAAAAAGAAACTAATTTTATTATTTTAAAAGAATAGAAAACATCTCCGATTATTTCGCTAAAAAAAAAAAAAGAAATTAATCCAACGTGATAGAATATTTTTTCCCCTACACTTTTCTCCATCACTCGTTAAAAACTTACATGCATATCCCATAATTCGAGCGGTGACGATCCACAGCTGTACAAAATGGACATAAGCCCGTGTTGATACTTGTTACGAAACATGATGTTCCTCTCCTCTCATTGAATGAATAAAAAAAAAATAATCGAAAATAACTCTTATATTTCCATCGTATCTTTATCTCGAGAAAACGTCACATTTAATCGTTTTAATATAACGCGAGAGTGTATTTCTTTGTTTCGTTCGTCGGATCGAATTTGTTTTCACTTCTAATTTCGCGTGAAAGCTCTGCACGCCTTTCAAACTCACGGACGAAGGAAGAAAATAGACTCGCCCACACTTTATTCAATGTAGAAACTCTAGGTTTATTCGATTGCACGTGTCGTTACATATCAAGCACAATGAACATTGGGAGGACAATATAACGAGGTGTTGTTTCGTTATTTGACACGGAGAAGTTCGTTGATGTGACGTCTCTCGTTCACGTTTAGCAAATCGGGGACAATCAATGTCTCCTGTGGCATTCCAAAGCTGAATACCCGGTCGATCCTGACGCTATCGATGGCGAACATCTGCATCATCGCGAAATGCATGATGTTGCGGTTCATTTGACGCCTGATCTGCCTCCTGGTCTTCTGTACACGGTGCCGGCACACCACGTAACTTTTAACAGATTAAACGTTTTATAAACACTGACAATTGGAATAATCGAAATTTTTTTTTTTTTTTAAAGAAGAAAATTTAACGTTCGAAATAAATTTCTTTTTGTTGTTCAGAGCAATGAAATGAATTTGAAAAATTTCAAATTTATTTCGAGAATTAGATTCTTCTCTAATATCTTTTTGATAACGTTTTTGAAACTTTTTAAAAGTTATTAATCTATTATTTATATATGTGATTTCATTATATATTTTTTTAATATTAAAAAATTATAAAGAAAAATTGAAGAATTTGTCTTTTATTATATTTACTTACTTTTTAAAATATTTTAAAAAATTCCACTATTCAAAATTGAAAGAGAAAAAAATTTTGCTTAATTAATATTTTTTTCAGCAAGCAGCTATAAAATTCGTTTTAAAAATGAAATACAAAAAGTAAAAAAGATATGTTACACACTTTATTTACTTTTATGAATGAAATTATTCTTACTAAGGAAATTTTTTAAGAGTCGTGTAACTTGGATGTATGGAAACATCGCTTCTGTATAATTCCGGATACAATTTCATGTGTTTCGTTATATATCTCTTAACACGTGGTTTCGTTTCATTTTCCTTTTTGTGAACGTCATTCAGTTTCTTATGATCGTTGTTATCTTCGGCAATCCCCTTCTGATCAATCATTCTGTCCTATAAACTACAAATAAACACAAAAATATCGATCCTCTATAAACGATTTATCCGTCAACGGGGCTCGATATTCTCATTTATTGATATTAATTTACAATCCAGTACGACAAATCAAAATAAAAATATTCCTCAACAATTTTCCAAAATATTTTTTAAATATTTTCCCATTATTCCCCCAAGATTAGATTGAAATTAATCACGATTTGATGTGTTACTCACGTAAGAAACGAACTAAAATTTTGGAATGAAAAATGTCGAATGGACGAAACGTGATGATCGCGATAAACGCGAAACTTGGACTGGAGAATTTTTCGATTCGGCGAGTCTTGCTCTGTTGGATCCGACGAAAGTTGGCCGATCTGTAACGAAGTGAGCCCCTGTGCCTCGTACGGATATCGATTTGGTTTCCAGGTGAATCAATAGAGAGATTCGGTTCATTCTTATTGCGATAGGTTTGTCTGTAGATGTCGGACCATCGAATTCACCACACAAATCCATTAATCCGTGCTAATTAGCCGCGAGAAGATTATGTAACCTAAGGAATTTCCGGGATAAAGTTGTTCTCAACTCACCAACGATCTATGATTTGAATTACATTTATAAGATAGATCGTTCGTTAAGATATTTGTTTGGGTTAAGTAAATTCGATTACTTTGCGAGTGATATTTTTATTGTATGTGAAATTATATTTAATAATTGTAATTTTGATGAATGATTCTTTTTTTTAATTTTTAATCAATAATTATTATTAAATCACGAAAATCTTGTATATCGTAAAAAGTTTTAAGAAATATTGGTGCATGTTTAATATTTAATGGAGAAGGATTTTTTTAGAATAATTTTGTGAATTGCATTCCCAATTATTTTATACATAATTAGATGATCCTTAAGATGAATAAACCTTACTTTATTCTTTTCCATTCGTTTTCTGTACGACTGTTTGATACGATTACTTTAAAAATAATAAGAATCTTCTTTTATATTTTATATAATAAGTTATTTATGCAGCAATTCAATATGATTTCTCCATTCGCATATGTGTAGTATATGATCAACTCCGGATCGATTTTCTTATTGTTAATATTTATATTGTTACATATTCATGAACCGAAGAATAAAGAAATCTGTTCTCAGTCAATCACACTTCACGTCACATGTCTTTATACAGGTTACAGATTCTCTAATGCAGTTAAAGAATAATCATAATCTTGCTTTACGATTGTGCAACCCCAAGAATTTCAAATGATTCGATTCCTTAAGATAATTTGATAAAAAAAAAACAAATGATCTACAATAGATTTTAAACTTACTTTTTACAAGAAAAAAGAAAGAAAGAAAGAAAAATGCAGATTGCCTTCGTTCTCTAGATTCGAATTTCCACTTTTTTAAAATCAATTAATCAAAATTTAGATCAGAATCGTAGAATCTCTTCAAAAATTTCCACTTTCTTTTTCGAATTCCAGAAATCAACTCCACAATTTCCATTTCACCTCTACTTTTGTAAATAGTCACCACCTTTAACCAGAAAACAACGAATTTAATTAACCCATCATACAAGTCCATTGAAATTGCTTTCAAGAGCTACATCGCGTGCCATTGTTGGACGAAATAGACGGGGAGCACGAAGGATATTTATCGAAGGACTATCGAGTCCTCGAGAAAGGCCAATCACTTGGATGTTATTGCGGCCCGCTCTTGCCGGTGAAAATTCTATTGCAATTAACGTGGACATGTCGTTAACAACTTCGTTACCGCGTCGATTAAACGATGCATCTTCGGTAATCGGTGTGTGCAGCAATCGATAAACGTGCAAAACAACGCTCTTGGCTCGAACTCTTGCCCTTTCGTCTCCACGCGTTAAACGAAATTTCTTTGACGCCGCTCGGTAATTACTCGAAAACCGAGTACTCGAGTTAATCGAGAGACGTGGTTAGGAAATTGCGAGGAAAAATTAACTTACGGCCGAGTTAATCGGGGAACTTATTAAAGTTTTTTTTTTTTTTTTTTTAAGTTAACGAGATATTCAAGAAGGCTAGAAGCAAGAGTATTATTGTAAAAGTTGTGTTGTGCTCCGTTTCACTTCGTGCAATGGAAATTTCATTCGATTATTAATATTGAATAAATAAGTATCGATATTTTTGGATTCTATAATCGATCTTTTGTTTTCAAAATTTATAAAAAGTTAGTATTTCAGGTAAAATCTAACATAAAATCTAAAGATATTAAGTAAGATAGTAAGTTTATATGTAGATAACTGGAATAACTACAATGAAACACTACAAACCATGGATCAATATTGTATGCTTTTCTTGCGGAAATTGCATTTCAATATAAAACATGGCAGAAGTTACTCGTTAAATTATCAAATATACATTTCAGATATTTAAAAAATTAATTACGATATAAAAATTTAGATCGTGCAAGAATCCATATATATTATTAATGTTTCTTGAATTTGACATTATTAATTTACAATATCGAAATAACTCTCGAAACTTTCGAAACTACTTATTTTTCTTCTTTTTCTTCGTGTAAGCAATATTATTGAAGGAAAATTATTTACTTCTAATATTCTTCGATATAAAAAATTAAATTCCTTAATATCTATGTAACAATCTAAAACAATCTGATTCAAAACAACTTAATCTTACAAAATTCTTACAGCTCACGAGTTACAGGAAATAACGGAATAAGAATAAAGAATTATTCCAATTACCCGTAAAAGTTGCTTCCTTTTTTAAAAATTTCTAGCGCCATACATCTATTTTTCAATCCTCAAAAAAAAAAATCCTAAAAAAAAAAAAAAAAAATAAAAATAAAAAACAAAAATGAAGAAGCTTAATCCCACAACTCTGAAAATTCAAATGCGATCATCTCTCGTACTTAAATCCTGCGCATGCGTCGAGCAAATAACACGGTACGTCCACAAGTAAGGGCCGCAATAACCATGCTCCAACTTATTGATATTTTACGTACGTTTGAGAGCGCGACACGAGTGAGACAGTTGCACCGTGGACAGATTACGTTGTATACGTGTGGGAGTGGGATACGCATAGGGACAAGAGGATGCGCCAGAGACCTCGTCACGCCCGCATGCCCAACGTGTGCAGTGTCCGGGTGTACAGCTGATCGCCGAGTTCTGTGCATTCCCAACGCGACGAGAGCGCATTGATACATACGCGTTGATATAGCGCACATGTCGAGCGGCCAGGTTATCCATTGGGACGAATGAATCACGTTTGCGCCGATTAATCAATTCGAAATCGTGTCAATAGCAATCCTGTACGCAATGTTGCGGTGATAGCCAGGTGTGTACACGTTTCGAGTACGCGAAGGGACCTCTTTCACCCTCTCCCCACTTTTCGCCGCTCGCTCATCCGTGTGTCTGTTCACTGTATCGCCTTCTTTGTACCCTCCCTTCGTGGGATGTACGTGTGAGAAATTAATTATAATAAAGGAAGAGAGGAAGGCAACGATGTGGCGTGCATCAGCGCGTCTCGTGGACCTTTGATCCCTGTGTGGTCGGGTCGGTAGCGTGGTCGTTTAGAGAGGGTGGATCGAGAGGACGAGCAGATCCAGGGGAAGGCCAGTTTCGAGGATAGCACGGTTGGCCACGCTCGACAGGCTTGTTATGATGGCCAACGAAAAGACACAGAGACCGTACAGGTGCGTGATCGTTTGCTCGTTTTAGGGATCAGAATAGTGGGGCTGATTGAATACTCGAATGAGGATTCCGGTTGCCGGTCACGAAGCCGATTTCTGCGAAGCACTTGAAGAGGATGATGAGCAGCGATAGACTTCGACCGATTGACGATCTTATTAAACGTCTCTGACAATTGTTGCTTGATCACCAAATGATTATTGGTTGGGTAGTTGGAAAGTATGAATATCGAGCGTGATGAATTATATTGTTCGTTTCATTCTGGAAAAATAATTTAAGATTTGTTATTACATTGTATGTTTAATATTGCTGCTAATATTACCTATTATGGAAAAATTGAATTTATATTTTTGACAGTATATTGGTAGTTATTTTTATTTTCAATTCTTAAATTCATAATAAAACTTATAAAGTATATTAAAAGTAATAATTAAAATTTGATAGTAATATTGTTGTTCCAATTTTGTCAATATATTATAATGAATGTCATTGAAATTATAGCAAAACTTTGATAATAATTTCAAAATTATTGATTATAATATTAGTTACGCAGTAACGAGTGTATATCTATTTTTAGAAAGTTTAATCTTTGGAGTTAACAAGTTATAACTTTATAACTATATTTTATCAAAGTTATCAATTTTAATCAAATATCATTAAAATAAAAGATCAACAAATATGGATTTGTCATCTTATTATTTTATAATCTACACTTTTTAAGATGTCACTTTCTTAAAATTTTTTAAATAACTGCGTTTAGCAAAGGGGTCGAATGTTTCTTGAATAAACATTGACTATAATTTTGATTGATTATAATCATCGAATTTTGGCCGATTATGGTTTCAAATGACGTAATTGACGACCATGTTCGGTCAGATTGTAGCTGATTTATTGATCCCGATTAAGTATTGTTACCAAAACAACTAGTTTATAGGGCAATCGATTAGGTTTTGCGCATTGCTTCATGTATACTTTTAATTTCTTATTTCTAAAATTGAGTAGGACTATCATTTTCCATTTTCTACCCTTTCTAAATAATCAATTCTAATCAAGAACTACTTTTACATTTTGAAAGATATAAATTCATTAAATTATATTATATCATTAATACTATTATTAAAAATTTGTTTACTTTCTAATAGTCTAATTAATAAGAAGAAATAATATTTTTATATTCAAAAATGAATATAAAATATACAACATGTGATTGAAACGATAAATTACTGGTCATTGAAATATAAGTATTATCAATATTCTTTTCTTTAATGTTGCTTGTTGAATTAATCAGATAATTAAGCAATCGAGTATTAAAAGTATTATTTTCTTTTTAAGAACAACGTTACCAGTGCCAGGTCACTCGGAAGTAAATCTATGCTCGGTGTTATCACTGGGCAAAGATCTTAGCAAGATCACTATGCCGGTCATCTTCAACGAACCGCTTTCTTTCCTTCAACGTGTAGCCGAATATATGGAATATGCTAAATTGCTTAAACAAGCTGCGCAAGAAGAAACTCCTATTAAAAGGTTACAGGTTAATTTTTTTTTTTTTTTAATTGAAAAATCTTTTTTTACCTTAGAGTGAAAACAATTTATTTGATCGATGATTACAGTACGTCGCTGCTTTTGCTGTAAGTGCTTTGGCTTCGAACTGGGAAAGACTTGGCAAACCCTTCAACCCGATACTTGGAGAAACGTACGAATTGGAACGTGAAGATTTTCGGTAAGTAATAATAAAGTTCAAGCCACTGGAAAATTCATGGTTCTAGTATGATATAAATATTAAAAATAATGATTTATTTTATAATGGATTTCGAAAATGAATGTAGATTTAGAAATATTATCAAAGTATTGATTTAGCAATTTGATAATTTTATTAAATAATAATAGTTTGATTTTATTATTTTCTTAAACTGTTAATTTATAATTTTTTCAAAAATGAATAAAAGAAGTTGAAAATCGCTACTTTGATAATTTTTTTGACTTTTAAAAATATGATCTAAAGGTATTAATAAATATAATTTCTTTATTCTTGAAAGAAATTCTTCAAAAATAAAATATTATATAATTTTTATGATTGAAGATTGCTTCTTTAGTGACAGTAAAGCAATTACCATGGATAGATAGGCACAAAAAGGGTCACAAACCAGCGGATCAATTTACCCCTCTTGTATTTAATCTTTGGAAAGGGTTTCTAAGAATAGAAAATAAACTATAGACAAACAATGTAAAAATCGATATAATCGATTTGTTCATCAAATGCGAGTATTTGTGCAAGTATTTTCATTATAAATGCAGGATGTAAAGGACATATGAAGGTCAATTTTATTTTTCCAGAAAAGATTAATATTATATTATGTTGTACTATTTCGCAATATTTGCCTGTCAAGAATAACAAAATAAATTAATTATTACTTTCTTATAAAGAATAATAATAAATATCATTAATAAATGCAGATGCCAAATTCATCTTGTGCTAAGAATGCATTAAAAAATTAATGGAATATCAAAATTGCAATTATTATTTCAGAATAGTTTGCGAACAAGTATCGCATCACCCACCAGTATCCGCGTTCCATGCAGAAAGTGATGAATTTGTATTCCATGGCACCATACATCCGAAATTGAAATTCTGGGGCACATCTATAGAGATTCATCCGAAAGGCATTGTCACCGTCGAACTTCCAAAGTAATATATTAATTTCTTAATGCTTATAATTCTTTTTTATGAAAATCAAAATTATTATTAACAAAACAAAAATTGAAATATAAAAAAAAGTATATAATTCTATCATCTTCTTCTCTTTAAATATATTTAGAAAATTCTGTGTATATATATATATAAATAATATATTAATAAAAATATAAAAAATAATTAAGCATAAGAATTTTAAAAATATATGAGAAAAATTAAGAATTAATTGTAAATATATAATACAATTATATTCAAATAATACAAAAACAAGAAAAGTAAGAATATTCAAATGGTCATACTAAAATCCTATCATATATAACTGTTTCACATATTGCACGCAGATGGAAGGAGGCATATACTTGGCAAAACATCAACTGTATACTGCATAACGTGCTCGTGGGTCAATTATGGATGGAACAGCTCGGTTCTTTGGAGATCAAACAAAATGGTGGAGTGAACTTGAAGGCAATTCTCTCCTTCAAGAGTGCCAGTTGCAATGGAAAGGATCTTCATCGCGTCGAAGGCTTTATAATGGATCAAGAGTAAGCTGGTAACAATTTATTATCACTTGAATTCAAAAATATAATAATGATGACTGTATCACGAATCGAATTGCATGTAAAAATATTATAAACACGATATGCATGAATTCTGATAATTTTAAAAATAAATTAGTAAACAATGTTTTAAATATTAAATATATTTTATGTCTAGAAAGAGAAAACTTCTGTTTCTTTATGGAAAATGGACAGATAGAATAAAGGTGTGCGATCCTTCCTTGTACGAGGAAGCGTTGGAGAAGGTGAAACGTGATGCGAAGAGTCCTCAAGGTAGTCCTGGTCACAAGAAGGTTCTTGCAAAACTGCACAGTCTCAAAGTTGGAGCTTTTAAACCTTCTCATCAGGTACTTGAAATATTAATTGACTTTAAAATAAAAATAAATAATAAAAATAATAAAAATAAAGATTAATTTTAATTTTGGTTCTTTTATATAGATAGAGAAAAAAAAGATAAATAAAATTTTAATAATTACAATTAAAACATGGAAAATAAATAAAATATTTCAATTTATATAATTGTTTCATCTGTTTGATTTTGTATATTATAAATTTGAGGTAAAAATTCCACTTTCCATTGATCTTTTTGTACCTTCAATTTTCAAGTGGTTGTTTTAAAAGTAAACTATATATAGAACTTTATATTTTATCCCTATTTATACCTACCTTCATTCATTAAAGCTTTGCATATTCAACAACTTCAACAAGTTTTCTTCATGAAAAAAAAAATTTCTTCATGAGAAAAATAGCAAATGTTTTACATAATTTATGAACGATCTTAGTATTATACTTTTCTTCTAAAATATATTAAAATTTTATAATCAAAGGAATAAAGATAAATAAAAAATTATATTGAAAATCTTTTTGTTAAAAATATCAGAAAAATATTTAAAATTTTATTTTTAATCAAATTAAAATTAAAAAATAAAAATACTTATAAAATTTTATTAAAATTATTTTTAAGAGAAATATTCGAAATTTTATTTTATAAAATTTTAATATTTCTTAATAAATAATTAATCCTAATTATATTTTTAGAATCTTAAAACTTTCTTTTTATTTTTTAAGGATGCAATTGATGATCCATCAGCAAGTATAGACGGAGATGAAACTCCAACGATCGATGATATTCCTGGATCAATTACTCTTTGGGAAGCTACTCCAAGGCCATCTAATAGTTCAGAAGTAAATAAGAATTTCTTTAATTATAATAATTATAATTTTATCAATATATAAAATTAATAATTAATATTTATTGAATCGATTTCCAGTATTATCAATTTACAACGTTTGCAATGTCTTTAAATGAATTGACATCGGAAATGGAAAAAGTGATATGCCCGACAGACTCGAGATTAAGACCGGATATTAGGAAATTGGAAAATGGTGATCAAGATGGAGCTGCGGCTGAAAAGATGAGACTTGAAGAAAAACAACGGGAAACGCGTAAATCTCGAAAGCATAAAAAAGGAGAAGAATGGACACCTAGGTAACAAATGATTAAAAATAATTGGTTTTTATGAATTTCAATTTTTACCAATTAATATTGAAAATCTATTTGAAATTATTTAAAACTTTTACAATATAATAATATATATATATATATATATAATAATCCCTTATTTGCATATTCAGCTTATTATATTTGCATAACATATATAATAGCAATATTTTTATTTTGTCTCATAAATAATATTCATTATAATTTTTCTTCTTCAAGATACTACAGATATCGATTATCCGTTATGTAAACCTTTTATGTGCCACAGGTGGTTCCAATTATCCATGAATCCATACACAAATCAAATGGATTGGTTATATCGTGGAGATTATTGGGATCGTAACTATAGCAACATAGAAGACATATTTTAATAAATGTGGATCCTTATTCGAACGGAAAAACTAATAAGTAACGAAATATACTGTTCTCATAAGGAATATTTATACAAGCAGAATTAAATTGGTTGCTTTTTAACAATGATATCGCATGAATTTTGTATCGTTGGTCGATTTGTAATTCTCAAAACGATTTAAAGAAATGCTTGCTTATGTCATCGTTATAGCTATAAATAACAGAGAAACAAACAAATAGAAGATGTAAGCTAATACACGTGCTCTTCTAAAGATTCTTTTTATAAAGAATAGGAAGACAAAGCGAAATAAAAAAAGAAATGCTTTCTTTCTTGTGACATACAAGTACCATTGTGTTCCAGTGAGACAAGAAGTACAATCGATCAATGAGACGACAATGCGAGATGCGATACTTCAACACAAACAGATCTTCCACGAGGAGAAAAACTTTTGTACAATATGCAGCTTTACACAACATATATGTGTCTCCTCGATAGTGCAATCCTAATATATTGTACACACAAATATTTCTCAATACACAAACTTGTTCACGGATTCTTTCGAAGCGACAAAGAACACAAACTACGCCATAAAGAGACGAAAAACCATTAAATCTCTCAAATCCGATCTTCTTTCGAAGAATTGAACGAGCAAGCTTATACCTCGTAGAAAAATTCCGTATGCAGGTCGTACGTGCATAGTCTTTTTTAGATAATTAAATACGTACCCTGGTACTCGATCTGTGAGTGCCATAGTAGAGGTTAGGTAAAGAAACGAGTCAGATGAAACAATTTCTGCTGGTTGTTGTTCGCATGCGAAACTCATCGCTCTAATCGCGGCACCACGCTTAAATATGGAATATCGTGTAACTGCATTTTTGTAGATTTACAAACAACACTTAGAAATCAATGTCTATATGAAATGTCGCGCAGTAACGAACGAACTTTATCACCCAAGCGAAGTGACCGGATGGTTCGCCATGACACCTTGCATGGGAAGATGGTTTTCATGGCGCGAAAATTAAATTATAAAGTCCATCGTAGCATCGTTGCTATAATCGATATTTGCTGTATATATACTACAGTGAACAAATAACAAAATAATAATTTTTTTATAATACACAAAGAAGGTAAATATATATGTGACATGACAGTAAAGTTTCGAGAAAATAAATTCATTTAAAAATTATATATATCTTAAAAATTAGTAAAATATAAAAATATTTAAAATAATATTTATTCATACATGCATAGATATAATATTTTTTTCAAAGGAATTAATAAAATAATAAACTTTCTTTAGTATTAATGTAATGATTGAAATTGAAAATATAAATTAATAGAATAATAATAAGATTATAAAATATAATTTTTTATATTAAAAAACATTGAAAATTCTCAACATTCTCAACATTCTCGAAACTGAATTGTTACATATCACATAAACATACAAAATGCAACATACAAAGATCACTTCTGTTCGATTTCCAAAAGAGCCATTGGGAAATCGAAACCTTCTTTCTTATATACACGTTCGTTTTTATGAATTACGCGTAGCCACAAAATCACTTCTGAAACTATTTTTATAACAAAGAAAGAAAGGGATTAATAATCAAAAACCCCATCATCTTTCTTATATATATATATATATATCGTTAGTGTGATTACTAGGTTTCTGTACATACAGTGACTGTACTATATACTTGTATCTAAAGATTAATGATTTAGAAAAATTTTGAACACGAGGTGAAGAATTTAGTAAATGAGTGGTTGCTTATATATAATAAATCAGCTCAAATAGTTAGTTCAAGTCTTCAAAAAAGCTTTGCAAAAACCACGCATCGAACGAGCAATAAATTAATAGTAATCGTTGATGTTTTTCGTATTGTTTATAGCTTTCGAATAGTTTTTTAGATTACCTGATTCAATTTAGAAACAATCTTTCTTTCATAATAATAGCCAATTATACATATATATAAAGATTTCTTTGAAGATTTTATTTATATTAATTAATATTTATTATTATTATTTATCACTTTTCTATAAAAATTCAGAGATGAATTATAAAATTAAAATTTGCTTGTATCATTTTTTAATTGTTTAAAGGGAATTAAGAAAATGATAAACGAATAAAATCTAACTATAGAATTTTTTAATTAACATTATACTTATGTATGACTATGAAATAAAAACTGCAAAGAAACTTGTATACTTATAATTGGCTAAGCAATAACCTAGTATCTATAATTTGATTCACCATCTAGTTTAGATAGTTAGATTCAAAGCTTAGGAACAAAATAAATTAGATAATATTTGATACTCAATGGTGCCAATGTAGAAATATTATATGCTAATTATCCCAAAACTCCTCTACGGCATAAAGATTCTTTTTCTTGAATGAAATCAGTAACATTACAATTAATGAGCTATAGTTGGTTGCAATCCTTTCAACAGTCTGTATCATCTTCTGTAACATTTAACAGTTACCCATATATAACAAAATAATGAGCAACTGAAAGAAACAGACAATGTAATAATTAAGTAAAATTTAAAACTTACTCCAACTTATTTCAACAGTTCTTTGTCTTTTGTTCTCAGTTTTGTTCATACTTTATATCCATTTATATCCATAAAACAACTGAACACTACTGATCCATGATAAAGTCAAAAGGAAAAAAAATATTCCTTTTTTCAAAAATATAGGGTGTTTATTTGGAATCAAAAGAACTGTAGAAACACCAAACGTTGATCAATCAATGATAGAACAGAAATATTGGCCTCTCCATCGATAGATCACTGTAAACCAAAATAATATCATTAGTATGTATTTAAGCTTTTAAATTCATTGATAAGATCTTTAATTACTTTGTGAAAAGGTATTCAGGAAACGAAAGGCTCTTATATGATATATATAATGTACCATTATTTGATCTCGAAATCCATAAAACTTTTCCATTAGAAGACAATAGGCTGAAGACCCTCATGCACACCTAGACTTTAGCTCAGCTTAACATGTAAGTGTCGGCTCGTGTTAGTGACCGCCGTTTATTAACGATTCGTTTACACGAAACTATGTGGACATTTAGGCCAGTACGAGTTTAAAATACGCTTCTGAAATGTTCTGACATCCATCGAATCTTAAAGTTGTGAAATTGTCTAAATGTGTTGCTTTATAGGAAAATCCGTATCACGAGTAACTTTTCATGAAACATTTGTCATAAATTTAATACTAATCGATAGATGTACACGTGTATTTCGAATTATATGTATGTATTTCACGAAACGTTCAATCTAATCACGAATTCATTACATTATTTATCGATTTCGTATATCATGATCGATCATTCTTGTTTATGGATGAAATTTAAGATGATCGCAATATGATTGTAACTTGTTGAGAGAATGGTACACGAGAAAATTTGTAAATATATTGTTGCTTCGTGCAGAATTTAACTGCTATTAACTGTGTCTCATAGAATTTAATATTATCTCTCGGACGGTCGAACCTCGTAATTTATAACCCTTGTTAATGTATACTTCAAACATAGTCTCTATCTAAAATTGTATGGTATTATATAAAAGCGATATTAAAATTACTTAAGAAAAAAAAAAAAAAAAAAGGAACAGAAACAACCGTCTGAGGGTTAAGAGATTTCTTCGTATAATAGTAATTTATTATGCAATTAAAGAAATTTCTGGATATAATTTTAGGGTACACGACAAATATATGGTTATCTCTATATGTAAATTTAAGTTTGAAACATTGATACGTATTATTTTATAAAATTAGGTATCGTTAATATTGCGTTGAGAATGTTGAATGTTGAAATTTGTGATGATAATTAAAACAGTTTTTTAATCTTTTTTCCGCATAGAAAACGATGTACGAACAAGAACAAGTGAATTGATAAATATTTAAATAATAATATGTTTAAAAAAAAAGATGTGATATTTATAATAATTAATTTAGAAGTTAATTTTCGATCAAAAGTCAATTGTTCGATCATTCTCATTCAGAAGAAATACATTATTGATCAACATCAATAATATAAAGTTTTTACACCATAGCATACATAAATATGAATTTAATATCAGTTCAGTATTAAGCGAAACAAAAAGTGTTATGCATAAATTTTACAGATATGTATCATTGCGTAATAAACATCTCTACGCTTCTACATAACATTTCTGACGATTGTTCTAACCCATTTATCATGAAAGTCACTAAACATTAAGAACAAGAATGATAAGTATACTCTTTAAAAAATGCCAATAAGATTTAGAAGAGATATACCATCAGGCTCACGAGCTGTAGAATATTATTGTATTTATGTTGCATAGGCAAATGTATGTATCTGTACATAGATAAATAGATATTAGAAATAAATGTTGTAAAGAAAGATATAAGACGTTTCTTTCTATTATCACAAAAGCCTAAATATATTCTAATTTAAATTCAATACTAGAGATATGAACATATAATAAGATGACATTGCAAAAAAACGAATAGTAGATAAAAAATTACTATTTTTTTATTCTTATAATTATATTGATATCATTCTTCAGATAATTTTTTTATATATTTAAAGTTTAAAAGAATTAATTTATCAAGTATTTTTAAATATTTTGAAATATAATTATGTTAATAATCAAAAATTTAACAGAAAAAATTTCTTCAAGACCTAAACTGTTTCATCAATTTTAATAGAAGCAATCTGTACTGAAACAATCGTGAGCTAGAATGACTGACAAAGCTCTTAAAAAATGTGGGTGAAGCAGACCCAGATTCCTAAAGAATTAATATGTACTAGGCGGAAACGATATATCACGGTTAGAAATTAAATTAAATGGAAAGATCCATTAATATTGTCGACTGACGAAATATTTTAAATCTTAGAAAATTATTTGTAATTTGATATTCTGCTCACAATTCATTATAAATACTATTAAAAATGAATTAAAAATATTTATTAAGTATCATAATATTATTTTTAAAAGTATTATAAATTATATATTATTCTAAAAACATGTGAATTCTAATTCTTGATAAATTTAATTTTACAAATTTTATTTTAAATATCGTTTCTTTTCAATATAACCTAATATTTTATAAATACAATATATTATTACTTTTATTATTTTTAAAATGTTACATAAACTCTACATAGATGTAGAAACTATTTTATTCATTATATGTATATTTCATTTTTATTTCTAATATGACTAGATCAGTATAATAAAGTATAGTTTAATATTGCAAAAATGCCGCCATAAATTCAAA